TTTTTTTTTTTTTTTTTTTTTTTTTTTTTTTTTTCCTCCTGGTTTGACACTGCCAGTTTCCATGGCCACAAGCGCTTCCCTGCACGGCTGCAGTTTTGGGGTTTTGCTGTTTATGGACCAGCCAAGCCCTGCTGTCCATGAACTTAAAAGAGCTCCTGTTTTAGCAACAAGCTATTACGGGAGGCAGACTCCTCTGCAGACGGGTGGAGGAAGCTGCCTTGGGAGAGTGAGCTTCGCACCTCAGCAGGACGCTCCGGGAGGGTGGGGGCATGGGAGTGCACACAAACCCTCCTCTTTCCTCTTACACAAAACCCTGCCTTTTCTTTTCTCTGCTGTAGGGAAGAGCAGCGAAAGAGCCTCGTACTCCACATTCGGAAGAGACACAGGGATGCCAGGACTAAACCAGGTAACGATAAAACGCATTGAGATTTTTTTTGCTTCACTTACTGGTCAAGTTGCGGGAAGTGAGAGCTTGGGAATGAAAAGCAACCTGGTGGTTTGCATCTTGCCTCTCTGCATGAGGTCCTGGAAAGCCTCTGCTCTGCTCAGAACTGTCTGTTAGAGTGTCAGTGGTTTATACGGGCACGTGTTGCTGGCTCAGAAGAGTCATCAAGAGTTTAGAAAACAGGGTTGTAGCAGCTTCTCAGTTCTTTTCAAAACCTCTTCAGGCTCACTTATTTTGTTATTGTTAATCTAATCAGATACGGCCTAGCCACGCTGCCCTTGCAGGGAGTTTCAGTGAGTTGGATCCAAGCAACACCTTTCCTTGTGACAGGGTGGCTGTGGGCAGAGGAGCGCTCCGGGAGGAACCTTCTCCCTCCCTCTGCCTGTCTCGGGGCTTGGTGCTGCATGTGCTGCCTGCACCCCAGCCAGCGTCCCCGTGTCCCCCACTCGCCGGTTAAGGGGAGGCAGAGTCCATGAGATGCTTTCTGTGCTGTTGTAGCAGCATCACCCTCTACAACTCCCTGAAAGGAGGTTCAGAGGGGAAAATGAGTCTCTGGAGCCAAGGAGCCAGCGCCAGGCCCCGAGGGAATGGCCTCAAGCTGCCCAGGGCAGGGTCAGGCTGGCTCTGAGGAAGGATTTCTGTGCAGAAGGGGCTGTTGGGCGTTGGAATGGGCTGCCCAGGGCAGGGGGGAGTCCCCGGGATCCCTGGGGGGGTTGAAGAGTCGGGCTGAGCCAGTGCTGAGGGATCTGGGGGAGTTGGGAAGGGTCAGGGTGAGGGTCGTGGTTGGACTGGAGGAGCTGCGAGGGTTTTTCCGACCGAGATGATTCTGGGATTCATTTCGGTGGATATCAGGGGTGGTTTGGTGTTACGGTGGTTCTGCGGATGCAGGACCTGCAGCAGATGCTCGTTGCCACCGTCAGGGAGGGACAGGGCATGGGAGAGGCGCCTCTCGCAGCAGCGACCCTGCCCTCTTGGGTCACCCCGCGTGAACCCCAGCGGGAGGGGCCGTGGGGAAAAACTCGCTTCCCGTGGGGAATACCACAGGCGTAAATCAGCGCCCGGGAACGCAGTCGACCAGCCCTGAGATAATCTAGCCTGCTGCCACCAGCATCCAGAAGCAGTTTTTCGGGAAGGAGCGAGCACCTCTGCTTTGATGTGCTGCTGCAACTGCCCCGTCAGTGCCTGAGCGTGGCCTCAGGGAAACAGTCCCACCATTTTATTCAAGGGAGCAGCTTTTGGCCGGACAGCTTTTTATTTTATACATGTACACACACACATATTACATGTTTTAATTTTACACAAATTTGTCATAATTTCCTCTTCTCTGAACTGAGGATGTTTCCTTTGCTGAAACAGCTGTGCTGGCTGTCTGTGCCAGAGTGGATTTAATTTACCACTGAAGCTGCTAAAATAAAAATGGGACAGATGCCAAGCCTTGCTTTTTTAATGTTATGGTTTTGCTGGGGTTTCATGGAGGAGGGGGGAGATATAAGGTAACAGAAATGGGATGGGCAAATGGTGCCGTGGGCCGGGAGAGGCCCCGGCGCGGGCGTGCGGGTCCGGATCGGGTAGCAGAGCAGGAGACGGAGCCCGTTTGATGTGGAGGGGAGACAAAACCCCTCTTGTGCGGGGCGGCGGGAGGGAGCAGGGCTGTCTGCACGCTTGCTGTGGCCCCCAGAGCAGTTGTTGCTTCTGGCTCCAGTTTGGGGGGTGGGGGGGAGCAGAGGGGGTTTGACCTGTTGGTTTGTTGGGTTTGGTTTTTTTTTTTTCTTTTTGAAAAGCACTGGAAAACTGTCCAGTGGCAGATGCCCTGGATGGGGAGCACCCTCCTCTGGGGCACAGCTGTGGCTCCCCCATCCTTTAACCCTTAACCACCTCTGGAGCATCTCCAGGGAGAGGGATGGGGAAGAAAATCCTTTTCTCTGGGAAACTCCCTTAAAATCTCTGAGCCTCTCGAGGTACCTGCTGGAGGAGCTGGGCAGCAGCCACCCAGCCCTCCAGGACCTCCTCCGGGGTGCTGTGTTGCTTGCTTTTCTTGGCTGTGCTGCTCCGTGGTGCGTAGCGGTTTCAATGCAAAGGTAATATGACCGGTGGAACAGATTGCAGGAATTTCACCAGCTGTGAATACACGAGCTCCTCTTTCCCTCCCCGACCCCTTTCTGGAGGAGACGGAGTTTTAAAGCAGTGGGTTTTTCTTTCTAGTTTCTCAAAAGCCTGAAATCCTCCTTTATTTCAACGTGTTGCCCTCGGAAGATGGGTCAAAGCTAAGCTTTTGTTACTTAAAGGCCCTTTGCCAGCCCTCTTAAATTCCACTTAAATACATTTCACTTTCTCCCGAGGTGAAAGGGGCAGTGCTCCTGGAGCAAAGGCGCTCTTGCTCCGTCCCAGGAGCCAGCGAGCACCCTGGGCTCCGCACTGCTTCCCAGAGTGCCCAAGGTCAGCCGGGATAAACAAGAGGGAGGAGTTTCCTCTTTTTAGAAAGAGAGATTTGACTTTTCCCTGATAAAACGAAAGAGAAAACCACCCCCCGCAGAGGCATTGCGGCTCCGTTGCATCGTCCGCGATGGGTCCAGCGGCGTGGCACTGGGGAGTGGGAGAGAAACCATCAGTGCCAGAACCCTGGGCTGGGTTTTATGGCCGGGGGTGCTGGCAGAGGCACAGTCCGACCTCTCCTGTCTCCTGCGGTTGGTTTAGACACGGTTGAGGTCCTGGGTTTGCCGCGAGGCGAGCGCTGAGCCCCTGCCCTGGCCGGGTCCCCGACGGCGCCGCGGGGCCGTTCTGTCGGATCTGCCCTCTGAGGTTGGGTGGGCGCGTTGCGCCCATCGGGGGCGTCCCCGCGGGCACCAAAGCACCGGTCACATCACAAACTGTCATCCCTCGCTATAAAACCTCGGAGGCGGCGAGGGAAGAGTTTTGTCCCGAATTAAGTGTGAGGCGGGCGGGGGGAGTGCTGCACAGCAAAGCCTTCAGCAGGTTGGGACGATAAAATGGGTGGCAGGGTCTCATCCTGCCCGTGTGGGACTGTGAGGTTCCCCGCAATGGCACCTGCTAGTTTGCTTCCTGGGTTTGTAGAGAGGTTCCTTGCTGGTGTCCAGTGAGAAAACACACCTCAAAAGACCCTATTCTTACTGCACATGTATTTCCCCACTGCTGTATTTACAAATTCGTTTTTCCTTCTGTCCCTTTGGCTTGTCTATTTTGGTTTTTTTGGGTTTTTTTTTCTCCCCTCGGCTGAATTTGTGCGAAGGTGGCTCAAGGCAGCTCTGTTCTCTCCCAGCGAGCGCAGTGGTTTTCCACCGTAATTACATGGAACCGGCTTTTCTGTCTCCTTGTTTGCAGACTGGTTTCCTGCCCAGTGAAATGGGAATCGCAAGTCCAAGCACGCTTTCCCCCACCGGGGTGAAAGGGGGGTCTCAGTATTTTTCTTACCCCAGCAATCCTCGCAGGAGAGGTGCTGAGAGCAACATCGGTAAGTGGCTTCGTGTCACCCTCGGGTGCTGCTGCTCCGGTTTGTGCTGCAGCTCGGGCGGGCGAGCGCGGGGGCCGTCGGCTGGGCTGGGATCTGCCGTCGGGAGCGAGAGCCCTGGTGTTGTCGCGCGTGCACGTAGGTGTGAATTGGGCATTTGCTTTTTTTAGCGGGAGGGGGGAAATAAATATATATATATATATATATATATGCACATAATTTTTAAAAAGGGGGGATTTGGACTCGGAGACATGTAGAATTTCCTTCTTTCTGGAAAACGTCAGATTAGGTGAAAGCAGCCAGATGGCTTGAGGTTCTTCTAAAAATGCCTCTGGCCACGCTAGACATCAGTAGTCATTCCTGGAAAACCTTGGGCCACCTTTGAGGCTGGTTTTGTGGCCGATGGTCCTGTTTTGGAGCCTCTGTCCTGCTGCAAGTAAACGGGACTGCCAGGAGCAAGGTGTTACGAAGCAGCGCGAGGTGCGGGCGCCCTGCCGCCGCGTGGGAGCTGGGCCCTGGGACTCTTTGCTCCAGGACCTCTCCCTGCCCACCTGCCTGCTTCCATGTTCCAGAGCAGGAGTTGCCCGTGCCTGGATCTACCTGGGAATAAGCCATTTGGCTTTTAACAGAGGCTTAAACTCAGGTCTGAATTTAACTTTCGAGTGAAGACAAGCCCCAGTTCTCCAGAACTTGTGTTTCTTGTCATAGTTCCCCTGCACCCTCCAAAGTTGCTTTCTTGCTGCTATTTTGGGCTTTCCCCAACAAACGAAACCAGAAGCGACCCAGTGTTACGTGTGCTTTTTTCCAGTGCTTTTCAGAAAAAGGCATCTACTTTCATATTGCCACTTTAGAATGGTGCTGGTTTACGTTGTCAGCCTGGAAAATGATTCTTTTGCATCAGGTCATTCTGTGCGATGAATTTCTCCTCCTGAGCAGAGTCCCTGGCTTGGCAGACTTGCTGTCTTAACATCCTGCACCCCCCCCAGCTGGGGCTTTCCTTAATTATGAACTAAAAAAAAAAAACCCCAAACAAAAACCTCAAATTTTTAACCAGTGCTTCCCCTTGAGCCGCTCCTCTGGATGTTTTCCCCACTGTCTCCATGAATTGTCTCCCTTCCCCCAGGACACTGTGTCTTCCCCCCTCAGAGCTGGACTTGGAGAGTTGGGCTGGGGAGGGACCAGCCTGGGGCAAGCCCCGTCCCCGCAGCAGCGAAGCTTTCCCAAGCGCTTTACTGTATCAGGAGCGAAGGAAAATACAACCCCATCCCTACGTTTGTTCTCTTTCTGCATCCTCTCTCTGCAAACCCACTTTGAGTTCAATTGTTTCCAAAAAAAAAAAACCCAGTGAGGGCTTATTTATGGGGTCAGCCTCTTCCAAAGAGCAAGTGTTTTGGGGCAACTGCACCCATCGTCGTGTTTTGGGGCAGCTGCTCTGTGAACTCTGCTCATGGGGGAAACCCGCCCTCAGTGGGTGCAGACAAGGAGGAGAGGTTCATCCTCAGACACTTCCACGGTGGATGCTTCCTCGGCTACGGGGTGTTTGGGATCTGAGCCTTGTTTGGACCCTCGCTTTCCGTCCTTGGAGACTTTTAGCTGTAGCTTGTTGTTTTCTCTCCCACCGACCCCCTTCAAAAATTAGATCCTCTCTTCTTCTCTTTAAACCAGACGGACAGCCCAAAAAGGTTCGGAAGGTGCCTCCTGGACTCCCCTCCTCGGTAAGTGGCAGGAGTGTTTTCCCCGCCGGTATCGCGTCCCCGTTCCTCCATCCCCTGGGCATCCCTGCTCCCTTTGCTGCCAGAGCTGCCAGCCCTACGGGTCCAGCCGCCCCAAATACAGAGGGAGCTGGGTTTGAGCAGGACGGGGAAGGGTCTTCCCAGCTCCAGCTTCTGATGGAGGAGAAATGAGGAGGCGCTCTGAGCCTGTGGAACCTAATGAGAGAGTTGCTGCAGTGCTCCCTGTGCGTTGCAGCCGGCGGCAGCACCTCCCTGGCCGGAGCCTGGACCCGCCGCCTCCCGCCCTCGCTGGCTCTCATCTGTTTGACGTTATGTCGCGAGTGCCCGAGTGAAATGTAATATTTGGTGTGATCGGATTTCGCTCCAGAAGGGAAACCAAACCAGTTGTAATGCGGGCAGGCAGCTGGGGCTGCTCCAGGTGTGTGCGCTGCCTGGGCCGTTTTATAAGAAAGCCAAGCAGCCTGTAGGAATATGTTAGCCACGGCTCCTGCGGCTGTTACGGGGGAATAAACTGAACAATGTCTTTGTGGCTTGAAGTAATGGGATCTCCAGAAAGCTAATTGGAGCGGGCTGGAGGGTTCCTGCAGGAACAGGGGAGCTGTCTGGCTGCGCGGCGGCCGGGGCTGCATTCCTCGCTGGAGCGTTTGCGTGCTTGCGGGGGGACGGGCGGGCTCTGGCCCCGCGCTGGCGAGCTGGGGCTGGGGCTGGGGCTGCGCTGGAGACGTGCCCTTGCCCGAGCGCGTCGTGCCGCTCGCTGCCAGAGCTGATGCTGATGTGATGTGAAGCGGGCGCCCGTTCCCAGGGAACACCCGTGTGCGTCCCGCTCGTGGGGGAGAGCTCGTGCTGTGGCGTCGCCTCGCCGCTAGCGCAGAGCTGGGGCTGTAACCTCCACCGTGAGCTCTGCCTCTGGAAATGGGCCCCCAGATGCTGATGTGGGGAGGACGGAAGGGTAGGAAGACACCCAGGGCTTGCCGGACTGCGCTCGCAGACCTGAGGCTGTTCGAGGGTCCCGGGGGGGGGGGGGTTGGAGGGTCCATGCGAACCCTCATCTTGCAGAGACCAGCTCCAGTCAGAAGAGTCTGCTTTAACAGGGGAAAAACCTGCTCGAAGCAGCATCTGTATCGCTGCCTCGAGTTTCTGTGTGAAATTCGGAGCTTTTAAACCCCAGTCAACATGTGGGGAAAACATTTCTCCTGACAAATGGCCCTTTATTGGCCTCAGATTTCAAAGGTGATGGAGCTCGCTGCCCGTCGTGCTGGCAGCGCCCTAAAGGGCCCCGATTCCCACAGGAAGAGCCGCTCGGCGTTTGCCAGAACCCGGCCCCTTCCCCGTGTCTGAGCCGACACCTGCACCGCGGCTTTTCCAGCCCAGGACACACCGGCCGTCGCCTCGGCTGCCCCTTGACCGCAAAGCTCCATTTTTCGGCGTACGGGCCGGTGCTGCCTCTCTCCGCTGCCCTCTCTTTGCTGTGACCTCTGGCTTCTTGGTTTGTTTTTGAACTTCCACACCTGGGGAGAAAAATCTGCGCCGAGGCGGCGAGAGGAGCGTGGAGCAAAAGGAGTCGCCGGCCCCAAAGGCAGCGGATCAAAGGCTCTTTCTTGTCTGACTTGCCTGTGCCCACCCTGTGTTGTTGCTGGACCCTGTGCAAAATAAATAGGTTAATCAGCATCGTATTAAAATA